CAACCAATGGAATAAATTAAGAAAATAATTACTCATGAATATAAAATTTAAATAAGAAAGAAAATAGAAAAATTCCTTCCAGTCACTTTTTCGTAATGAACTTGCTAATACAGAATCCCGAGTTCTAGAGGAGGAGGAGCTAGAAGCCGTCAAGTGGATGGTGAGGCTCTGTAGGTAAAAGGGAACTTCTTAGGGAATCTACTACGAAACCTTCCTTGGAAATCAAGTTCCATTCCCTCACTTTATGCATAAGGACACTGAATATCGTTTACCTTTTTGTGGTTACACAATAAAAATCCAGGCACTAAAACAAGCCTTTTTTTTTGAGTCCCTAGTCTCTTCTCAGTGTACCACATAGCTTCAGTGGTATAAGTGAACACTATTGAAATGCTTTCCTTGTATTTTATAACAAAAATTTTCTAACTAGAATTTATAGACTCCTAGGGTTCCTTGAATGAGTTTTCAGGAGTTTTCTTAAGACAAAAATATTTTAACTTTGTGTTTTTATTTCAGGGTTCTAAAATTAATATTAGAATATTTTGGCTGGTAGGAGAGATCACCATCTTATAATTTAATTCATCCACAAGGTCAGATGGTTGCAGCATTTGTGTTTTTTGTTGTTGTTGGTTCCAAGCAATAGTATTGGGGAGAATGAGGGGAAAAAATTGCCTGGCTTGTGGCTCAGTGGTTGAGCTCAGTGGTTGAGCCATGCACCAAGAGGTTACTGGTTCGATTCCCGGTAAGGGTACATGCCTGAGTTGCAGGCTCTATCCCTAGTAGGGGGTGTACAGGAGGCAGCCAATCGATGTTTCTTTCATCAGTGTTTCTATCTCTCTCTCCCTCTCTTCTCCTCTCTCTCCAAAATCAATAAAAACATATTAAAATAAAAGAAGGCAAAAATAGAGGGAACTTAATATATAAATAGTGCATTGGAGCTAGAGGAAGGGGGAATGATGTCTAGTGTGGCAGCACAATAAACATTTCTCAGTAGTCTTAAAAGAAGGAATGGTCTCAAACTATGGGATGGGCTTGTTAAAATAGATTGCTGGGTCCCAGGTTTACAGTTCTGATTTAGCAGTTTTAGGGTAAGGCCTGAGAATTTGCCTTTCTATGTCCCCAGGTGTTGCCAGTGCTGCTGGTCTGGGACCACAATTTGAGGACCATTGCAATGGGAAAAGGTGATGGGAGAATTGAGTGGCACCTGGTAGAATAGTCTCATCTCAAGTCAGTCTGTGTCAAAACTACCATTGTAGCTCTTAGGATCATGATTGTGGTCCTAAGGGAATCATTTCCTGTTTAAAGGAAGAAATTCAAGTTTGTTACATACAGCTATAGATATTTAATGGTTGTGACTATTTTCTTTTCCCATTTAATTATTTTTTTATAATATGTTTTTATTGATTACAGAGGAAGGGAGAGGGAGAGAGAGATAGAAACATCAGTGATGAGAGAGAATCATTGATTGGCTACCTCCTGCACACCCCCACTGGGGATCAAGCCCGCAACCTGGGCATGTGCCTTGACCAAGGAATTGAACGGTGACCTCCTGATTCATAAAGATAGATGCTCAACCAGTTAGCTACATTGGTCAGGCTCCCATCTAATTCTTAAACATTAAAAAGATTAACAATTTCAATAGAAAATTTCACTAATTTGGATTAAAGAGAGGCCAGCCTGAACTAAGGTAAAACCTAAGAAACTGAAAAAAGAAAGGAATATTGTAGATTTGATCATTTAATTATGCCTAAAAAAGTGTTGCTAGATAGTGGATTTGGTACTGCTTTAATCAATAATAATAATTAGCACAGTAGTTTCTTATCTTTGAATTCATGTCAGAGTCACACACACAGTAGAATTTTAAAAGCCCAGGGGTGCCAGTGGTCCCCTCTGAAATCAGGGCTTTTGTATCTTTAAGTTCCATAGGTGATTCTTATGCCTAAGCAAGAATCTGATTTAACACTTAAAAATTAATGTATGAATGACTGCTTTTTAAAGTGTCTCATTTGTCATATGTAAAAATAAAATCTTATACTTCTGTAAAGTTATTTATTTTTAAAATGATAATACTTTTTTGGATTGTTGTGAGGAATTAAACCATAAAATACATGTAAAGCACTTAGAACAGTGCCTGGCTCATAGTATATGCTCAATTAAAAAAATTTTTATTTTACTTCTAATGAAAACAAGTAGAATTAAGTTATGTTGAGCTGTCTTCTTTTCTCCAACTCCACTGCCATTGTGCAGCTTTTATTCACATTTTCTTTTTGTACTCTTAAAGTTACAGTATATTTTATAACAAGTAAACGTTAAATTGCAAAGTCAGTAAAAATTTCTTGACATTTCAACATCTTTAAAATGAGCAATTATATTTTATTATTTTTGACAGTAGTTACATTCGTAAATATAGAGCATCTATCATGTAAGCCTGGTAACTGTTATTAAATTGTTTAAATTCTTTATTGAAAAGTCATTTGGGGATGTTTTCTGTGACTCATTTCCTTCATGGATTTATCTTTGTATCTATTTTTGTGTATAAGTGAGAGAGGGGACACTCAGTAAATATTTGACTATAAATACTATTTAGGAAAGGAACCTAAATCTAGTTTACAGCCATTGATCCCAGGACCATTAATAATTATAAGAAGATTGTGAATATATAAGTTAGTGTTAGTACAACACATTACATTTATCAAATTTCATTGCTTTCAAACACATGTTTTTATTTGATCTTTGGATCTCATGAAGATAAAGGGAACAGGTAATGATAATATATAGAAGAAACCTTTATTAGTACTGTATGCATTAATGAGTAAACTTAGTGGAGGTTGGTTTTCTGAAAAGGTATGCATTTTTGGAAATCATTCCCTAACCCATTCTTTCCAATTAAACCTCAAACAAAATAAAACACTTATGTCAGCCAGTCTTCCTGTCTCTATAAGTGGAACTAAGTATTCAAGCCAGAAGCCTGGCAGTGTTGTTTTCTTCCCTTTTTTATCTTGTTTTATTAACTTTTTAACAATAGTAGACAAATAGAATAATGAATTTTTCCTCTATATCCATGACCCAGCTTTAAATATTACTAACTCTCAGCTAGTCTTGTTTTATTTAAATCAGGATTTCCCAATCTCAGTACTAGTGTCATTTGGGCTGATAATTCTTGGTTGTAAGGGGACTGTCCTGTATGTTACAGGATGTTTAGCAGCATCCCTGACCTCTCTACCCACGGATGTCAGTAGCAGCTTCCAAAATGGGGTAACAACCAAAATGGTCTCAAAATATTACCGAATGTCTTCTAAGGGCAAAATTGCTCCCGTTTGAGAATCACTGATGTACCCCCATCCACTTCTCCCTTCTCATGTCTAAACCTGAAAATATATCAGATAAATCTGTTCATTGTTTTCAAGATCCACTGATCTGCTTCTATTCCCGATACCCTCTAATTTGATATTAGTCAGAGTAGTGTTTTTAAATTTAAAGTGGGTAATATCGCTTTCCTGCTTGAAAACACCTCATGGCGTTCCATTGCACTTAAGATAAACTACCAAAACTTTAATTGAATAATAAGGTTCAGTATTAACTGTCCACTGCTTATTTCTCTTGATTTTTCTGGTGCCTCACCCTTTGTACCTACCTCCCTTACTCTCATAATTGAAAGACAAAAGCAGGTAAGTGCCAACTTTATTACCTCATGTGCAAAATTATTGAAGATACTTTCAGAATTTGCTTAAATGTTATATGTTTTCAGGTGTTACGAGTGTGATGAAAAATTATCAACACATTGTCATAAGAAGGTTTTGGCTCAGATAGTTGATTTTCTCCAGAAACATGTTTCCAAAACGCAAACAAGTAAGTTAAGCAATTGCTAAGGAAATTTGTATTAAATTACACTATTTTATATTTCATATAAAGAGTTCGTAAATTCATACAGAGTACCTTAGATTTTACAGTTACCTCTCAGTTCAGGTGCCATGCATTCTTCCATAGCTACCTTGTGTCGTATTTACAGTATATGACCAGTAATGAGAAGCTGGTGAGAGTAGTGACTAGATTCTGGGCTTTTGAGTCAGACAGTGCTGAGTCTGAGTTTTGGCTCCACCATCTCTGTAGCTTTTACTCCTTAGTTTTCTTACTTAAAAAATTATGATAATAATTCTATCATGTGCAGTTATTGTGAGACTTAGAGATATTTTCTAAAGATTTAGAAATCATGTATGTAAAAATGCTTGTTTAATGCCTGATGCATTTTTATGAAATATCTGTTACTTGTGCTGTAATTATAGTGCAGTCCTGACACTAACTACCTGGTGTTAGACAGATTAAGGGCTCAGTACCCCCACAAGACACCCTCACTTCACTCACCATTCTCAAGCTCAGGAGTTATCAAACCACCCACATTTTTGAACAGCTGGCTACAAATTCAGGGGTTTCTACTACCCTCTTAGGTTCAGAAATTTACTACAATGACTCAGAGAACTCAGGAAAGTGCTAACCTTACAATTACAGTTTTATTATAGCAAAAAAAAAAAAAAAAAAGCGATATTGATACTGTATCTCCAAAGAGAAAAAAAAAGACACATAGAGTGGGTCTGGGAAGGTCCCAAACATGAAGCTTCTGTATCTTCTTCCTGTGGAGTCAGAAAGCATCAACTTCCTGACACACTGATGTGTAACAGTACACAGAGTATCGTTAACCATGGAAGCTCACGAGAGCTTTGATGTCCAGAGTTTTTATTAGAATTTCATTGAATAAGCTTTTGCTACATGATTTAACTCAGTCTCCAGGACACCAAGCTTCTAATCACAAGGTTGGCCTTTCTGGCTTGACTGGCTCCCATCGTGAGGCATTTCATTAGCATAAACTGTCTGGGCACCCACAATGAGTGTAAAAGACACCTTGTCAATTTGTTAACATAAATTATCAATTACTCTAGACATCCAAGGATTTAGTGGGTACTTCTCAGGAACCTGGGGCAAAGGGAGACAAGTTCTTTATTATATAATAGTAATGTATTACATATATGTTTTTATTGATTTCAGAGAGAGGAAAAAGGAGGAAGAGAAAGAGATAGAAATATCAGTGATGAGAGAGAATCATTAATCGACTGCCTCCTGCACACCCCCTACTGGAGATGGAGCCCGCAACCTGGGCATGTCCCCTGATTGGGAATCGAACCGTGACCTCTTGGTTCATGGGTTGACACTCAACCACTGAGCACACCAGCTGGGCAATGTGTTATATATTATATACTTTGTTATCTAACATATAAACAATATATAATACATGTTACTATAGATTAAGAGTAAGAGGGAAACAGTTTCTTCATTCAGAAATATTAAGTCCCTGCTACATGCTAGGTTTTATACTTTATTTGGTACTAGGGGCCCAGTGCACGAATTCGTGCAACTTGAAAGGAACTGTGGGGTGCAAGGCTGCGGTGGGTACAGGGGCGTGTCTCAGTATATCCTCCCCGCCCCCCAGGCTCCTCCTGCTTCAGCCCTTGGTCCCCTGTCTGATGGCAGCCCCACTCCCGCCGCCGCTGCCACCACTACCACTCCCATGCATTGATGGCGCTGGCCCTGCTCACACCTGCTGACAGCGCAGAGCAATTGGGGCCGGCACCAGCAGTGAGTATGAGCAGGGCCGGCGCCAGCAGCAGGTGTGAGCGTGCAGGAGCAGAGAATTTTCAGTAACCACCAGAAGCTCACCCCAGTGATAGTGACCAGCACCCCACCTTGGTCTGGCGCCACAGCTCACCTGCTCCACCATCCCGCTGTGGCCGATGCCCACGGGGAGCGGGGTCTAAGCCAACAGTTGGACATCCCCTAAGGGCTCCTGGGCTGCCAGAGGAATGTCTGACTGCCAGCTTAGGCCTGATCCTCCGGGGAGCCTTGCTGTATTTTCTGTAGCCCAATATATATTGTATTCGTTAACTATTATTGCTCTGAGATAGTAACGGTGAAGAAATTAGAGGAGGAACTAGAGAAAGTAAATTCAAGTTCCTGGCCAGTAGAAGAAATGATTAATTTTATCACATTTATTCAACAAACATTTATTGAAATCTTATTCTGTCATTGCCAATTATGCTCAAATCAAGAATCAGGAAAAATATGGTGTTGGTAGACATTTAATACTTCAGGAACAGAGATGTGGGTCTCAGGGCTGTCTCCTGAAAACTGCACATGAAATGTGTTCTGTTGGCTATAATAATATATATGTGGGTATGATGCTAAGGTGGCAAAAGTACGATTGTAGAAATTATTTTTTCTGTATTTTTCACCTAAGAGGTTCCTTGATAGTAAGAACAAAGCCAGTCTGATTCCATTTAATTTTATACATTTCTTGAGTATTTATTGTTGTAAGGGATGTAAGGAAGGGAGATTGGATAATATGGTAGAAAGCACATGGGCTTTTAGGCAGTCTGGCATTCACATTGGACTCTTTCAATCACTGGCTATGTGATGTGGGGTAGATTATAGTTTGTCTGAGCCTCATTTTCCTCAGCACTTTTCCCCCTCTTTCCCCTGGGCCTCAAGAAATAGAGATGATAAAACAGTTCCTGCCCTAAAGAAGTTTAAGATCTAAAAGAGGTGGTGAAATAAAATATATTGATAATGTGGTGTGCAGGAGGCAGCTGATCCATGTTTCTCTCATTTCCTTTCCCTTCTTCTCTCAAAATAAAAATAAAAAATCTTTTTTAAAAAAGTGATGATAATGAAAGCAGAGTATAATTTGTATTTTGAGAGATGTTTACATAAAGTCCTTTAGATATTCAAAGAGGGATGTAACATTCAGTTGAAAGAAATTCAGAAATCTGGGATGAGTTGCTTCCACGTTGACCTTTAAAGGATGAACTTTGGGTGGGTCCAGATTAGATAAAAAGTTATTTCAGGTGTGGAAAGGACCCATGCAAGCTTTAATTGTGTTTAGGGAACCATGGGTAGCACCTGAAATGATGGGAAACAGGTTCTTGAGGGAATTTGAGAGCATGTAGAGCTTTCAAAGCTGGAGAGAGATGTAGTTCTGAATTCAAGGTTTCCAGAAGTTCACGGGCAAAATGGGGTTATCTTTGTTTTCCAAGCTACATGATGTCTCAGGCAAGTTTGATATAACATAAGATCCCTTGGTATTCTAGAAGTAAGTTTTTGGCATAGTAATTTCCCATATTCTTTCTTGCATGAAGCTTTAGTAATTTTTATAATATACTTTAAAAACCAAATGTGAAAGTTGCTATTGAGGTTTGTAAGAATGCTGGATATGATTATGCAGTGACTTTAAATTATCAGTGTGAAGAGTAGAAATAAAAAATGTCCATATATGTACAGTAATTCAAAAAATATGAATCTATATATTGTATTTAGGTAGAAGAATAAAAATGATGTTTAAAGATTGTTTTTATATTTTACACTAAGTAAAAATAACTTTACTGAGAGGAAAGTCCATACCTGTACTTTAAACATGTTTTTAAGTGCCTGAGCGAATGCCTAATATATCTAAATTATCTTCTCTACACAGAGAATCTAGGCTTCATCCATCTCTTAAAAACAACTAGCTCAGGGTTGGTAGTCCATTAGACACTTAAGATATTATTGAGGACTTAAAAGAGCTTTGGTTAGATAGGTTATAAATCAATACTTATCGAAATAGGAATTAAAATTAAGAAAACTAAAATATTAATTCACTGAAAATTAGCAATAATTTCATGACATCTGAACATGGATAACATTTTTTTAAATATATTTTATTGATTTTTTTACAGAGAGGAAGGGAGAGGGATAGTCAGAAACATCGATCAGCTGCCTCCTGCACACCCCCCACTGGGGATGTGCCTGCAACCAAGGTACATGCCCCTGACCGGAATCGAACCCGGGACCCCTCAGTCCGCAGGCCGACGCTCTATCCACTGAGCCAAACCAGTCAGGGCACAAATAACATTTTTAAGAAAGAACTATTTTTTCAAAATAATACAAATGTAGTAAGTGGCATTGTTTTACATTTTTACAAATCTCTTTAATGGTTGGTTTAATAGAAAACAGTTGGGTTCTCATACTTACTTCTGCATTCAACGTGCTATCACATGGAGTGTAGCCTCTGGAATACTGCATTTATTATTGATATAATTGAGAATGAATGGAAGCAAACATTTAAAAAAGCAACTAACATCATAGTCTTATAAAGTACTTTTGACCTCACGGACCTGGAAAGGAGGATGGTGTCTTCAGGAGGTTGTTTTCAGATTCACTTTCAGAACTGCTGACTTAACACATTTCTATTTCCTGTCTTCAGCCTTACTTGCCCTAAGGCTCACTCAAATCCTACTCCAAGTACACGTGCCCAATTCTTTGTCTTACTTCCTTTCTTCTATGCAGGGTACCTTAGAATGAAATAATACAGGATTTTGTGGTGTTTACTAGTAGCTTTCATGTGTTTGTGTGTCTTATTTATAAAACTGTACGTTCCTTGAGGATTGTACCCTGGCTTATATTCTTTTTGAGGTGGCTAAGCAGTAAATACTTGCTGAATTGAACTGAACTAGCATGTAATCAGTTTATACTGGGGAAGTAGATAAGCTTTGCATTTTTTTCCAAAATAACCGCTGAATATTAATATCAAATTATTTATTCATTCAGATTGTTTTTATACATTTGCACTTCTAGCCAATCGTTGTGCTAGCTATTGGAGATATAGTAGTGAATGAGACAGATTTATTTCTCAGTTCCTGCCATTATTGATCTTTTGGTCCAGGAAGGGATATTGATACATCACACTTAATTATAATTGCCTGTGAAGGAGTAAGTACAGGGGGCTGTGAGAACACTTGGGAGTAGTCTCTATCCTAGACTGGAGG